GCAGGGAATAGTTAGAACAATGTCGAAAAAGGACGGGAGGGGTGGGACTATGCTTTGAGCAAACGTTGAAAGTTTTACTTCCAAACTACGACCCGGTGATTGTTTTACTGTAGGATGGTCTCTGACCTTAATGACGCTGTCGGACGCTGTTGGTCGATCGAATCGACAGCGTCTCGTCGGCCAAAGCCGACGTTTGGGTTGCATCATCCCATGCAGGACGAAATGAATTTCAGGAAGATAAGGCCCCCTGTCTGTTTGCCTAGTGTATTGACGTGTTTAAGTTCAAACAGTCAGTTTACATTACAGAAAGCTGGAGTCACTTGAGATCAGATTACATTCGCCGGATCGGTGACGGTGATTCACTGACGTTGGCCAACAAATGGCCGACGCACATCGCATCGCATATCACCGACCGACCGACCGACCGACCATCTGATAGATAATCAACACATCATGGAAAGACATGGCAGCACGACTGTACGTTAAGTCAGGCATCTCGAAAAGATACGCCGCATAGCGTATTAGACAGTGCACTTGAAAGTTGGCAACAAGACTCCCGAGACTCGCTGATTTCTCCAGATATCTTCAGATACGGTGAAGATAGTTCGGTTGACGGTGAGGACGTCGGACTGCCATATGATCCTTTGCTACAGATGACGATATTCTCCACGGACTACAACTTAGAAAACAACAAGAGTTCATTCGTCACGGCATATACTCTCGGAAGAGAGGATGATCGACTGAACTGAAACGATGATATTCAACGAGGAATGGCAAACTTAAAATGCTTATTTTAAGAGGAACATGTTCGCAGATAGATCACAAATGCATATCCATATTCTAGGGAGAAAATAAACGGTTACGCTGCTGTTGTTGTCAGCATCAAAACTTCACACAGATAAGCACAGCCTATCGCTTTCTACGTTTAACATAACCTTCGATCAGGATATTTATCTTATATCTACGACTACCGAAGGCCTGAAAAGCATGTGCACAAATATTGGGATAATTTGCGGCGACTTCAAACAATGAACCATAACCTTTCACGATAAAATAGTAGAAGTCCCTTCTTATCAAAATCGAACATAAAAAGCATGAAAAAGTATATGGGGATAAATTCTGCACTGTTATCAGTGATCAGGGCTAAGAAAAGCTGCTGTTTTTATGCCAAAGTAAAATCAGGCAACAGAAGCCGAAAAGCTGTTCATGGCGGTAGTTCAAGAAAAAGCAAAAACGATGAACACCATGGTGCCAGGTCGCAAATTTGTTCATCCGTTGGCACGCTGCGTGAGTGACTGTCGAGCAAGATGCATCACCTAGCGTTCTCCTCTTCCCCAGGCTCTTCAGAAATTTTTTGTGCTATCATACCAGTTTAAGAATTATTTTTACTCCACTTCCACAATGACCTGGGTGTTCATCCACCAGCCGAAACAATTTACCCTCCCTATTTTGTTCCAATGTACAGAAATTCATATACAAAATGATCACATGAAGCAGTTTCTCATTGTCAAATGAACAGATCCACATAGAGGATTAATAATTATGCGATCAGTCTCAAGCAGGCGTGTTGGTCGGTGTGCAGAGGGACGGTGAGTTCCAACCATAATGTCTGGGAAGAGTGATACATCGTTGCAGATTGAAATTGCGTTATCTTCCCTCCTGTGTATGATGCGAACAGACCGAACGGAGAATCCAGTGCTTTGTTGGATTTGAGGTATTGAAATTTAAGAGTGTTTTCAGTTTGATGACCAATTATTAAGTCGCTTTAAAACGTTGTTTCTCAGGAGCATCAATTTTTGATGCATGGTCCGATGATCTTTCTTGATCTAGACTTTCCACTCATGAGTACCGAAGAAATTATTTCCTTTATCATTAGCTGCAGCAGCGCAAATTATGCCTAATAATTTCTTGCTGCATCGAAGATGAAGTCTGTACTCCTCATGAGTTGCTTATTGTTTCACTGAATCTAATGTTTCCTCTAAAATTCATCTGCTCATCTTGGAAGAGTCCAACCCGCTGCCATGCTGCGGCTGTACACTGAGCTGTTCCTCTTCTAAAATTAGCCACCTTGGACGAGGAACCCAAAAACTGCCTGTCACGCCAGAGTGATGCAAACCTAGTAATGGCAAGGATACGACCAGAATATCCGTCACCTTGCTGACTGACACCTCCGTACTTGTCAGTCCGACTACAGCTGTTGCTGAAAAGCGTGGGTTCCTTTGTGATCTTCTCCACCACGAGGTTTCATACTCAAATTCTTGTCTGTCGTTATCTGTCGTTTACAGCGAGGGTGTGAGTGCTGACTTTGAAGGACATTACTAGCCTTCGATCACTTGGTAATTTAAAGAAAAGTGGAAAGTCAGACAGACCCTATCCACCTGCTATAAAAACGCAGTAAGATGATGCAGAGCGAGAAGATCAGTGAATCAAACGAGCTGACGAATTTTGCGAAAATTTGAATGTGTACCTTGAAACCTTAATATCTTAACCTCCTGTTAAAAATGTCAGATGTTTAAATGGGATCAAGTAGGTCTTGATTCCGCATTGATATTCTGCATTAACTCCTACTTTTCATACGAAACCGAGTGACCATAGTCAGTGGAAGCGAAGGCAAAGCTAAGCTCACGCGGATTCTTCTCTCTGGTCGATCGACCTGAACAAATTTGCCCCCTCCCTAAACAGACTCAAGAAATGACAGCTTTCATCGAGTTTGTAGGATGGCCATTACGGAATTGCATATGACCTCCTTCACCCTCGTCAATCCTGGTTTCACTTATAGTCATGATCATGATATAAGTAAACGGAACAGTAGGGTGATTATCCGTGGTAAGCATAACGGACCCAAGCCGTCTATGTCTAAGTCCTATCTGCACTCTGTGTCTCCTCCTGCTTATCAAGCCTCCGAACGGAACTCGCCTCTGGCTGTTACGACGAGGTTACGTTAACGTTTATCGCAGCGCGTTCATCGCCACTGGAACTGCTCACAGCGATACCATCGCCTTCCTCACCGGCTGCGTCATGAAACCGAAAACTTGCTCTACGTGATGTAGAACTCGGCCGCAGTCGATACGATCGGTTGGTGTCGGATTGGATCTGGCGGCCGATAGCTGCCAGGAACGGCAGCGCCTCTTCGCCTGTTCGCCTGTTCGCGCCCTCCACCCTGTGCGGAAAAAGTTGTTGCCCGGCTTGACGAAAACGTGTTTTTTCGCCGGCCGGGGTCTGTCGGAACCGAACCCGGTTTTTAGGCTACTTTCCGAATGGGGACTGTGATTTATCACCGTTGTCCTGCGTCTGACACGCTGCGCGACGACCGGACAAATGAACGGGAAACGACGACGACAGTCAGACCCCAAGGGCACACCGTCGCTTGATCGGCTTGTCGTCGTTCCACACACACAGACACACACACACACACACACGCACACACACACAACGTGTCCTCGAAGCGACCCGAGCGGTCGTGCTTCGTGTCGCATCTGTGAAACTCGTCTTTCGCTCGATCGAAGACGTCATATTTTTGAGATACGAACA